GTGTGTAGCCCCCCCCCCCCCCCCCCGCTCGGATGCTGTATAGAGCACACACACGCGCGCGCGCGCACACACACACACCACCCGACAGTCGGTTGGTGTACAGAGCGCACACGTGCACGCACGCCCCGACAGTCAGACAGTGTATACAATACACACATGCACTCGCGCACGCGCACACGACCTGACAGGCAGAGCGCACAAGTGCACTCGCGCGCACGGGCGCGCACACACACGACCCTACAGTCAGATGGTGTATAGAACACGCACGTGCACTCGCACACACACACAACCTGACAGTCGGACGGTGTACAGAGCGCACACGTGCACTTGCACACACACAACCCTACAGTTAGATGCTGTGCGAAGTGCACGTGCACACACTCGCCCCCCCCCAGCAGTGCCGGGTGTGCAAGGGATTCCAGCTCTGTTGCCCTTGGCCAGCCCTGGGCGACGCGCCAGCGTTACGTAAACCGCCGCCTGAACAACAAGGGGCTCGAGGTGCGCTCGCCAGGCCGCTCTTAATGAAAACACAGGCCAGGCCGGGGCCTTCGCGTCGCTCTCACGGGCAGCGAGGGCCTGACGGGTGCGAGTCACCGGCTGTTCCCAGGGGCTGGGGATTTTCTGATTTTGGAAGGCAGCGTGGCGAGCGCAGAGGGCGTTTTGCAGCCTTCTTGGCCTCCTGCATTGAAGAGGGCTCGTAAGTCGTCAGCTTTTCTCCCCAGGGGCGCCGATCAACAGGAGATTGACACGAAAATCAAATCCTAGATTCTTCTGACTAGAAATCACATCTGCTTCCAATAAAGATGCTTTTGCTTGTTTTCGGTGAACTCCATGCAGGAAGGGGACAGCGGCGAGACTACGACCCATGTGGCCAGAAAGCCCCTCGGCTATTCCTGCCTCTGCCAGTGATGATACCGTGTGACCTTGGGCACGTCTCTTAGCCTCCGTGTACTTCAGCTTCTCTATCTGCAGAGGGGGAGAATCATCCGTCTCCTTTGGAAAGCACATTGGCCGTAAAGCATTATCCCTTGAGGCTCTCAGCCCACCCGGCATCCTCCAGACGAAATCAGACCTGAATTTCTAGTGTGAATAACAAGATAAAATTATATATGTGTATACATATACATATGAAAGAAAAATAAATGTTCGGCTCTTTGTCCAGTTTAAAGCAACAAATAAAGACCCAACTCCTACTACCTTTTTCCTTTGCGGGTCCCCTTCAACCAATCCCGTGCTACAGCTGTGAACCACAGGCATTTTGTGTCGATAGCCACTCCTGCCTTCCTGGGAATTCTCACACTTCGCTCACAAGTTAGACCACATCAGACACTGTCCAAAGATCCCTCTTCTCCATGTGACTTGCTGAACAAGTGTCCTTCTGCCCCCAACACACAGCTGAGGGACAGAGCAAAGTGTAAAAAGCAGAAGCGCTTTCTCGGTGAAGAGGTCGCTACAACAGGTGTAGTTAAACATCAGCTGCTAACCCACACAGCCAGCCGGTTAAGAGAAAGGCATTGTGATCCGCTTGTGCACACCACACAGAAGCAGAGGCAGGTTCAGGGCCCGATTTCCAGCAGTGCTGGGAACCCACAAGTCAAACTGCAGTCAACGGGAGCTTGGCAGCTCTGGCAGGATCCAACCCAAGGCTGCACAGAGATTTGGGGCGGAGATGAGAGACAACTCGCTGTTTCCCAGAGCCGTGATCTGAGCGCTGCCAAAACAACGCGCAGCATGTTATTTATAATGTAATCCTTTATCTCTTCCAGCTGCCCCTGTGCCCTCAGAGACCAGACTCTCAGGACATCCGGGGCACCGTAAATAGCATGCAACTTATTTATCAAGCTCCACTGCTCCTCCTTATCACCTCTTCACTCCCACCCTGTCCTGCCAGCCGAGCGCGCCTACTAGGGCCGCTCCGACCCAGCAGAGCTGCAGATGTTAACATCAGGCCAGCCAGCAGCTCTACCCACTTCCCTCATCCACCCCTCCTGAGGCCAACTCTGTACATTTGCCTCTCTGGCACGGCTCCTGTCTTTCCAAGAAACACGCTCGTTCCCCAGAACTTCCTGAAATTAAGACAGTAACAAGCACCCAATAGGGACCAACAAAGACTTGGTCTTGGACCTCTATCCTAAGCCTGTGAGCATGTAATTAATATACAGTTAAAGTGGCCCCGACAGAAGTACAGCAAAGACTGGAAACAGTGCAACGTGATTCTGTAAGGAGTGTTTTCCTCCTTCACAGATAACCATGAAGTGGAAAACACACCTCTGCATAAGCGTAACCGGTGTACAATGGAGCGGAGGGGATCTCCTACCTGCTTAGAGTTACTCAAGTCCGGGGGTTGGTTTCCTTCCTTTGTTTTAGAGCACCAACGCCTTTGTTTGCAAGCCAACGCAACGTGTTTCTGCCTGCTGCTGCTTCAGACCCCATGCAGACTAGACTCTCTGAGCTCACGTTGGCATGACTGGACTTCTGGACCTGCTGCAAGGGCACTTCCAGGTAAACATCACTGAAACTGTTTTCAAAACCTACTAAAATACAGCTCGACCCCCAAATCCTTGGGACGAGTCATCAATAGGCCCATGTGAGCAACTAGTCGCTTAAGCAGAGGCATGATCCAAAGCAGTAGGGAGATTGTCACTGTCCTCGATCAGCTCCGTAGCAGGCCTGGAAGGTTGCAAAATTAGGCTTTTTCCTGTTTGGTCCTGTTTTGTTAAATGTTTGCATATGATTTCAATGGAACAATAAGCCCAGCACAGTCCATTTGGCACCTGAGTCCTCTGCCAGCCTAGGTTGTGTTGCTTCAACTTCACTGGCTTAAAAAACAAGAAAGCTCTTTCCAGCTGATCGTAGCAGTTGTGGCAAAGGGAACATTTAGTGCAGGAGCAGCATAAGGGCAGGCGTAACGTGTGCACTTCTGCACGTGGAACATGTACCTCCCTGGTATCTTTAACTTACAAGATTTTTGTTGAGAGAATCTATTTCAAGAGACTCACATCACATTTGAAATGATCTTATATATATTTTTAAGACATTCAGATATCAAAATACTATTTGAAAATTGTTTAACTACTTTGGACACAGATCATGGCTCGAACAGTAACTATTTATAACTGAAAAAAATGGAGCATGGCATGAGGCATGAGATAGGGTACTTGGTGTCTGAAAGCTTCTCTGTATACCTCCCACCTGTACAGTTGATGAAAGAAAAGTTATCACCGCCACAAAAAATCCCAGAGCGAGAATATTTTTTTATTATTACTATATTCCATGTTCCAGGTCAAAGCAGCCACACCAGTTCCAAATGGGATCAATTGAGAAGAACTCGGTCATTCAAACCCTGCACGGATTGAGCAGGCAGAACTCAACCGTTCGAAACACCGTGTGTGGCGCTAAACCGGCACCCGTCCTTCGTCCCAGGCTCTCAGCCTGGGACTTCAGAGACTCCCAAATCCATCGGCAGGCATCCTGCGTGCAGGCTTGAGCCCCGAGGTCTTGGGATTTGGATGCTCCCACTTGATCCTAGTTAAGAGGCCGAGAAGCAAAACTATTTCTCCAGTTTCTTCACCGTGTGCATTTGACAGCGTCATGACGGTTTCCCTTGGGGCTTATCTGGGTCTTTCACACAACATCAAGGGAGACTACAAATATTTTGTTGAATGGGGAAAGATGTGCATAAAAGCCACAAAAATCAGCCAGAGGACTGGAGTCTCTCAAGCCACTTTGACTCTGACCTGACTAACTTGAAGTTACCAACATCAGGAGGACGTGGTGGGATTCCACTTTGAACATTACACCCGATGGCTCGTGTAATCCTTTCGAGATTGTACAATGTAAATTGTGCGTGAGCATCACCTACCCACAGCCCAGTGGGGACATGCTGACCGATGCCATGAGACGCAAGGAGAGGTTTCTGTTACTCCCCACCACGTGGCTTTCAAGGCAGCACATTTGGCAGCTGTGAAAGGAAAAACGAATTGCACAGCTACTGTTTTCACCAGGCGCTCACCTGCGCTGGCATTTCCTTGGGCTGCCGCTCCGTGTGCTAGTTAGGAGATTAAAAGCGAGCAGCACCAGTAATCATCCAGGACAGTGCCTTTTTTCTTGTATGCATTTATTAATACCCGACTATTACCTCCTAGCATAAATGTTTCAGCTGCGCTCCATACGCAAAAACACGATTGAAAAAAACAACTCACGGGAGAGAAGTTTGGTCGTGTAGTCAAAGCAAGGAAGCGAGTCACGGCAGATGCCATGTGCTCCCAGCTCTGGATGCTGGTGCACGTGCGTTGTGTTGGTGTCCCAGTTTGCTGACCCATTAAAAGGGGAGGGGGCAGCGATAAACAGGGCAACTGCGCTGTGTTTTCGAGACCGAGTTAATCAGTGTTTATTCTGTGCACTGAAATCACCAGGTAACAGCAAGGCAAAGCCCCAATCGCGGGGACAGACAGGCGCCCGGCTGCCGGGGTTACCCTGTTAGCACTCCCTGCTCTGCTTGCTCTGTCTCCCTCAGGTGGGTCTGCTGAAACCAGACCTCTGCTCGGGGTGCGATGGCCAAACCTGTTCTCCCTGAGCCCGGAGAAACTTGGCAGCCCGGCTTCTGCCAGCCCGAAGATGGGCTGATACATGCCAAAACGCCCAAACACGCCCGGAGCTGCCGCTCTGCCTGATCTCACCAAGGCGGCAGCGCCCCGATGCCGGGCGAGGGGCACCG